AAGACAACCCTACTGTCCTCCAGCAGCTATCTGAGGTTGGGGCGAGGTTTTCCCCTTTGTGTCCTTTGGCCCGTTGCGTGCTTGCTCAAACTCTTTGGCAAGCCTGAGGCAAACACACTCACTGACCCTGTTGACTTCAGGGTCCTGGGCTGCTTGGCCATGAGTCATGTATAGTCTGTGGGAGAGAAAGAGCATATGATCTGGACTGTGAACAAGGATGTAAAGCCGTGATGAACCACGTGATGATGTCAACAGGGATTGCAATAAAATAATATGAACTGTATTGAACCATGATAGCAGATTGTCAAGCACCTTTCTGCCGCCTGCTGTCCAGGAGCAGAGCCACTCTGCTTCCTGGGTGCTCTCTACGGTCCTGCTGACACATGTGACTTTTTCCCAGAATTCTGGGTGTATCTAAACGGTGAAAGAGACATCCATATGCTTCATTAGTTCCATGGAATGTAATTATGGTGTACAAAACAATTACTAATTTGTACCTTGAAGGTGCCTTGATCATGGCATGGAGAGCTGCATGCAGGCGCACTATGTCAGCCTCCTCCTTGGCTGACAAAGCAGTGATGGTCTGCCTCCTATCCCACAACCCCTCTCGTGTCACTTGGACTGGTCTGGAAAGTGATGAGTGCAAAAAAGAAAAACCAAGCAAATTAATGGTCACTCTTGTTCCTAATTATGTGAGCAATGCTGATTTTACATTCATTCATGTTATTCGTTTAACCACATTTATTTCAGGTAAGTATTGTGTTTTTGAGTAGGCTAAGGTGTTACAGAAAATGTTACCTACCTCTGTGACGACGACTTCGGGATCAGTGTCACCCTCCACAGACTGGTCATAAGGACCAGTAGCCCCCTCCTCAGACATGTCTACAGTGACATCTGCATCATCTGCGTCCCACTCCTCCTCAAGCACCTGTGATGGGATTTCAGGGACATGCCATGGCGCAAGCAGGTCCCCTCTGTTGGTCTGGCCCAATAAATATTCCACCGCTATGCGCTCATCTGTAACCAGACATACACACATCCATCTCCATAGCACAGTCTTTGCACCCAAGAAATCCAAAGTCTTACCAGTAGGTTTCCCAGGTGGGGGGAATTCTGCCACTAGATTACAACCACGGACACGCTGGCTTAAGCTGTTGAGGTGGGACATCGGGCGGACATCGAAGCTTCTAAGGGTCGAGGCCCCCTCGGCCCCGCCCATGTTCCACCTTGATAGCCCCTCCAGTATGTACATTTGCATATGTGTAGCATTGCACCGCCAGCCTAAGAAACAAAATACTTTCAGTCAACACCATTATTGTAAAGTGAATCCATATGAATACATAAGAGTATTAAGTAAAAACTCTCCAGGGAGGAGGACCCCCTACCACACCTAAGGATGTCTAGCTCTTTCCTGCCCTTTTGGAATGTCCCCACCTTTGTATACAGTGCAACACCTGGGGGGTCTTGGAAGCACTCCAGTTGTTTCTGCTGCATCTCCCAGATGTGGCGCATGCTGTCATGGCTCACCAAACACAGCCCTGTGGTGTCTGTGAGGTCCCACACTGATTCCAGCAGCCTTGAAATCATACGGCGCACCTCCTCCACTCCACGGGTCCTCCTCCTGCAGTGTTTCTTTAGTTCTCCTGGGTTGACGGTGGCCATAAGCTGTTCCTCAGTGGGAACATGTCCACTGTGGCTGCACTTCCACTCCTCTCTCTTGGCCTCCTTCAGGCATTGCACATCCTCCTGATCCCATTCAAAAACGCAGGATGACAGCTTGGTACAAAAGGTGCCATATAGAGGGTGGTGTTCTGTAGTGAGGCCACAGTTGAAGCGCCTCACAAAATGAAAACTGTCTGTGCGCACTGCAGACTTCCATGGGTGGAAGAGCTCGGTCACTGAAGACACACCTGTGAAAAACAACCATTGTTAATTACGTAAAAAAAAAACCACATTGAATACAAATTGTTCTAACAGTGTGTCTGTGTGTGTGTGTGTGTGTGCGCGCGTGTGTTTTTGGGTGTGTGTGTGCGTGTGTGTGTGCATGTCTGTGTCTGTCTGTGCGTGTTTCTGTGTGTGTGCGTGTGTGTTTCTGTATGTGTACGTATGTCTGTCTGTCTGTCTGTGCGCGTGTGTTTCTGTGTGTCTGTGCGTGTGTCTATGTGTATTTCTGTGTGTGTGTGCGTGTGTCTGTCTGTGCGTGTGTGTTTCTGTGTGCGTATCTGTCTGTGCGTGTGTTTGCGTGTGCGTGTGTGTCCCTCTGGTGGTCAAAGCTGATGGTACGTGTGTGTGGTTCTGTTTGTGTGTGTGTGTGTGTGTCTGTGTGCGTGTGTGTTTCAATGAATGAATGAATGGGGTTGTTTGGGGACGTTTCCAGCCAGTTTTGAGCATTTAGAAAATTTGGTCAAATTTGAGCTGAAACGACAGGGCCGGTCCTGACAAAAAATGTCTTTTTTGGCCATGTCAGGTTTTGGCCTCAAACTGCCTTCAAATGACAAAAGACGCTCCAATATGGACATCTGGGGTGGTCTGGGGTTGTTACCTCCGCCGGCGTTTGTTTGTTTGTTTGTTTGTTTGTTTGTCTGTTTGTTTGTTTGTCTGTTAGCAACATAACTCAAAAAGTTATGGACCGATTTTGAGGAAATTTTCAGGATTGTTGGAAATGTGAAAAGGAAGAACTGATTTCATTTTGGGGGTGATCCGGAAGAAATCCTGGATTCTGGATCACTTTGAAATTTTAGTTAACATTGTGGTAAATGGGGCCAATATCTCAATATCTCGGTTAATTATTGACCAAAACCCCATGAAATTTGACTCAGGGATGGACAATGGGATCCTCTTTCATATTCCAAAGGCTGATCCGGATCTGATCCAGAAGACTGAATTTATCGCAATTTATATAAAAAATGGGGGTAGTCCTTGGCGGAGGTCTCTGAGTGCTTTTCTAGTTTGGGGACGTTTCCAGCCAGTTTTGAGCATTTTGAAAATTTGGTCAAATTTGAGTCGAAACGACAGGGCCGGTCCTGACAAAAAATGTCATTTTTGGCCATGTCAGGTTTTGGCCCCAAACTGCCTTCAAATGACAAAAGACGCTCCAATATGGACATCTGGGGTGGTCTGGGGTTGTTTGGGGACGTTTCCAGACAGTTTTCAACATTTTGAAAATGTGGTCAAATTTGAGCCGAAACGACAGGGCCGGTCCTGACGAAAAATGTCATTTTTGGCCATGTCAGGTTTTGGCTACGAATCTCTGTCACATAACATTACTTTATGGTGACCAGATTTTCAGAAATAAAAACTGGGACACAGCTGGGTTAGGTTTGCTGGTATAAATAAAATTGTTAAAAGAGTCTGTAACATTGGCTATTCTTGACTAATTTGTTGGTCAGTCATAATCTCAGGTACTCAGGGACTGTTGTTGCTTTTTTTTTTTCTTAAGGTCATTTTTAAGCAATGTTGCTATATTTTAGCTAATAAATTCCCCTCTTTGTTGTTGGTGGGGATAAAATTTATCAGAAACTTTACCATTTCTTTTATAAATTCCTTTTGTAAAACTGGGACAAATCACTGGTTTTGTATAAATCTGCTGGGACAGGGGACACAGAGCTCAAAACTGGGACTGTTCTGGGTAAATAGTGATATCTAGTCACACTTCATTCCAGTCACAAACCAATCACTCTCACCTTTTTGTTGACAAACAAACCCCTAAACAGGACCAAGAATGCTTGTCTCGATCACATGTTCCTGAAAATTTGCTGTTTAAATCCAATTTGTATTTTTTTCTTTAGTTTTCAGACAATCTTAAAACTTTTTTGTCTGTGTGATTGTGTCACCATGGAAACCAATGAAAACCCCCCAAAAAAAGAATTATAGAACACACACACACAGCACGATCACTGCAAAGTATCAATACAAGTCAGTCTGCTTGCATTCTATATTCTGACCACATGAGAGCACTGCAGCCTAGCAATGTACATGTAGCAGCAATCTAAGCCTCTCTGTCATAACCTGTGTAAGACCCATTGATTAATTATCATCTGTATTGACTCAGAGCTCAGTCTAATCATATTTAATGAGAGTTGTGGCATTTGAGTTCCTATTCCTGCTTCCAAATAAACATATTATTGTTTCATCTCAGCTTGTATCACATTTCATTATCAACAAGTGTATGACATTTTGGTAACTTTTTATTAAAATAATTTCACTTGATATGGTTTGAGTCTTGCTTTCTCTCTTTCTTTTCTCAGACAGAATACAGGTACAGTACATTGTAGGTGACTGGGGAGCATTGCATAAGGTTGAAAGTCCACCTCGAGTATTAGATGGGACATCATTGTGTACACTCTGCCAACTCCACCTCTGCTCAAAAATTCGTAGAAAAAAGAAAAACTTAACTGCAGTTGTTTGTCGGGCCTTAGACGAGCGGTCAAAAGCTCACGCCAAAAGATCAATACTTTTTCAACACCAACCAAAAACATGCTTCTACAATGACAATGCAATCAAAGCACACTTTCAACAAACAGATCCATGGTGAAATAGTACTTTTGAGGTGGGAAAGAATTGAGAAACTAGCCATAGCTTTAGATTAGCTTGCACCGGCTCAATATGTGACCTCGTATGACCCAGAACCTTTGAACTCTTCATTGACCACATCATTGGCCTCTCTCCAACATAAGGGCCCCTGGACAAACTGCAGAAGGCTATATTTGTGCATACCTTTTCTTAGTTTTTGCTCATTTCAAATACTTTATTAGAAATAGTGTTGCTTTAAAGGTGCACTTTGCAACATTTTTTTTCTGTTGGTCTCCAAGGAGATGTTCTTTGGCATGCCTGGAATGTTCCACAGTATGACATTAGACCTGTCCCTCTTCATGAAGATGTTGCAAGGCTAAGATACGGGTCCAATCTGTGGAGAGGAAATCCCATAGTAATTCTTATAAGTATTTGTAAAGAACCTGCAACTGTAAAAATGACAGATATGCCAGCTCCCAGGCCACTTGGTTGACTCTGACTGGCCCCTTTAAGCTAATTTTACTTAGAAAATAAACATATTTTATCATTTTACCTCATGCATGGACTAAAACTGCATTGCTTTTATTTTAAAGGTGTTTTTAAATGAAATTTTTTGTAAGGCATCCTATTTTTTCATTGCTTAGTCATAACCTAAACTCTTACCAGTCTTACCAGCTCGTCTAAACAATGATATTTGCTGCTTTTTATAAAGAAATGCAATTTATATTATGCAGAGTTGAGTTAAGCATTCTGGCCCGGCCCTGCACAATATTTTGTTTCTCATGTGGCCCCATTGAAAAACTAATTGCCCACCCCTTGTCATACTGTGGAACATTCAGTATAAAGCAGTTATATCTCCATGATGCAAGCAGGCGTGTGTACTTACACAAACTTTATTGATTCACAAGGGAAATTATTGGGACACAGTAGCCCTCACATCACAATAAATATAAAACAAAAGGTTTATAATAAATAAAAAGTATATATAGTAACCTCTACTACAAAAAACAAACAATATTCGATCAATTTGCACTGTACCATCAGATTCAGTGTTTGTGCTCTCAGGTCACACATAATATTTATTTTAAAGGTGCACTGTGTAGCTTCTCTGATAAGGGGGCCACCACAAAATTGTTTCCATGGAAATATTATTGCTTTACCTGAAATGTTTCACAGTATGACATTAAACTCATCTATGCATTTATTCAGTTGCAGGTGTTTTACTGCTGAAAAATACATGCATTCCTTCCGTGAGTTAGCTCACCTCCCCACAGATCTGAATCGTAACTTAGCCTGGAGGCATTACAGGCTTGTCTTCATGGAAATAAATAAGATTCATACTGTGGGACAATCTTAGATAGGCTGGCGCCACCTAGTGCCTCCGCTCAATTTCATTTCTCTCCAGCAGCTAGGTCAGGAATCAGAATACACTAGACGGTTCACAAAAACCCTGAAAGTGCAAGTTTGGGCACCAGCCAATCAGCAAAGAGCCATATATTCTATTCTGTCTTGTCAATGATTCCCAAGTTTGAGGATGTAAAGCCAGAATAAAGAGAATGTTTGGTGAATTTTATCAAGAGGAAAGACGCTATTGCCCTTCTTCCTATGGGATCTGGGAAAAGCTTAATGTACCAGATAGTCCCGTTAGTGGCGCATTGCATACATCACAACCAAATAGCAGCGATTGCTTAAATGAAAAAAGTACCTGCCTACCGTTGAGCGAATAAATTCTAACACTGCGAGGTCAGACGGTTTCTACGAAGTGAAACCGACTGATGAATAAGGCTAGGACATTCTTGAGAAAGCAATAACACAAAGTTACATAGTGCACCTTTATTGCAATGGTACTTTTTACTTGAGTGCAATTTTGTATTCCAGCTGCCTTCCAAATGTGATCATATTTCCAAACTGTAGATATGGTTAATCTTGTGCCTCTTGTTGATTGCACTGGACAATGGCACAAGCATACAGGAGATGTTCTGATAACCCACGTAGTATTGGCTCTTGTGTTAAACCAGCTCCCGTGTGTGTTCCTCGGTGCACTGTATATTGATTCATATCGCAGCGCTCTCTTTTGAGCTGTAATTGCTTGTGTTCTGTTGGTGGCTAACATGATGAATGGTACTGAGTGCATTCTAAGTCAGCAATAATTACCTCTCTGTACACAACGGGGAACGAAGTCTGCTCGCCCACCGTAACAAGACACAGCAAATCTATTTACAAATGAACTGTTGTTTTCTGAGGCAGCACAAATTTGTTTCTCTAATGTTCACACTGATAGCACTTTTAGACCTGGAAATTTGAATGTGATGTTACATTTATTGATTTTTTTTGGTTTGTCTCACCAAAACAGCCCTGCTGTTTATTTACTTATTATGTTTACAAACCATTTTTTTGCAATAATTATTCATTGTTTATCTGTGTATTTTCAACAATAACGCTCCTTTTGACTGCTTTAAAGGTGCACTGTTTAACTTTATGGGGGAAGGGTCCACCACCTGCTTATATCTGTGATGATCTTATTGCTTTGACTGGAATATTCCACAGTCCACCATGAAATACAGTGGTCCCTCTAAATTCTAAAAATAACCCATGATAGGCAAAATCCACGAAGTAGTCAGCTTTATTTTTTATAATTATTATATCTGTTTTAAGGCTGTAAAACCCCTCACCAGACACTTTAGACACTTTTCTCAGACAGGACAGTTACAACCCTTTTTGCATCCTTCTTAAAACTTATTGCTTCTGTCATCCTTACTACCGAAGATTCATTTATTCCGTAATGGAGCCCTACAGAGCAGCGTAGTACAGTACGCTTTTGCTCTGCATACTGAACCTGACTAAACCAGGACTAACCCAGGACTAACCCCCAGACTAAACCAGGACTGAACTAGGACTAAACCAGGACTAACCCAGGACTAACCCAGGACTCACTGTCAGGATGGGCTCGGAGGTGACCACAGGAGAAAGGACTGGCGCAGAGCTCTGCACCTTACTGAGATAAATGCAACCATTGCCCAATCTCGCTTTATGGATATCCTGCTCTGCAGGCTTGGGGTTCTCTCTCTTAAATCCAAGATTAGTCCTGGTTTAGACCTGGTCTATTCCTGGTGTAGTCCTGGTTTAGTCCTGCTGTAGTCCTGGTTTAGGCCTGATTTAGTCCTGACCCTCCCGTTTGTAATTACTACCCACCCACATACCCGCCCATAAAATTCCACAACGTTAAAACCCGCCCATTTCAGCAACTATTTGCCAGGACGCGTTGGGTACCCAACCCGGTGCAGGACTCTGCTACAGCCGCGTTACTTCTACTTTCCTTCGGCATGTCCAGAAGTCCAACTTTATGTGCGATGGTTAATATCTTCCTCTGCCTTTTGGGTGCGACCGCAGGAGCCTTTGTCTGTGCAGAACGATTCGTCAACATTGTGGGTTTTGTTGGGGAGAAAACTTCCAAACACACAGCACTTCAGAATCACACTGCTAGAGATCGAGCATTTATGTAAATTTGGCAAACTGAGCTCATTCTGTACAGGAGATATGGCTCAGAGGAGACTAATTGACAATGGTCTACAGTCCCTTAGCCAATTAGGACGCAGGGGAAGGAACACAATGCACATTCAAAAAAAAAAAAAAAAAAAAAACATGCAAAATTTTACAAAAAAAATCTGCGTAACAGCAAGACCGTAAAAGGTGAACCGTGTTATAGTGAGAGAAGACTGTATATCCATCTTGCATTCATTCAGTTCAAGTTGTTTGTATTGCTCAAAAATACCTTCAAAAACATACATTCTTACTGTGAGTGGAGTCACCTCTCCATAAACCTGGCTTGTAACCATAGATGTGGCTTGGTGATGGCCAAGCCTAATATTATATTGTGGCACATTCCAGACAAAGCAATAACATCTCCATGGAGTAAAATTCTGAGTAGACCTTACACCAGAAAAGTTACACAGTGCACCTTCAAACCAAATGAAAAATTATCATAAACATGATAAAAATCTATTGTAATCACTGAGATCTAGTTAGTTCAAATGGGAGAAAAAAATCTCATTTCAATGTATATATCTCTAGACTGCAATCACTGAATAACTAAGCCATTTGATATCCAATCCTTGTTTTTGTACACTTTCTATATTTCCTTTTGTTTGTTGTTTGTTTCACACCTTTTCACAACATGTCTTTACGATTTATAAATATTTGTTGAAAATATTTTACATTTAAACATTCCCACTGACAGAACAAATGTTTTTTAAACCATTTCCCATCTATTACAAAATCATTTTCTCTGTGCATTTTTATCTCAGCTCTGAAAGCTATTTCCTCCCCAAACGTCTCTTCATCATTAGGAGCAACTAGAAATCGCTTTCAGAAAAAGGTTATTCACTGCTGAAATAGAAGATACTTTCACTAGTTCACTGCAGTCGAATAAAGCAGCTGCAAAATAAAATGATTTCCTTCAATCAGAATAATAATAATAATAATAATTTTTAAAAAGCATTACAGTAAGAAGGACATAAAGATGGATTCTGTCATGCTTTTGACAGAGGGGGTACAAGTATTCAGATTCCAAACCCATACAGAAAAAGGGACACACAAACTTACTTTATACCTTAAAAGTGCACTATAACTTTTTGGTTGGGGGTCTGTCACCTGCTTGTTTCTATGGATATATCATTGCTCTTCTTGCAATGTTCCACTGTATGATTTTAAACCACTCTACTTTACGTTTATTCAATGATAAGTGGTTTTATAGCTCAAAAACACAGAGAAAACATGGATTCTAAGCTGTAACTTGGTTTGGTCTAGCCTGATTCATCATCCGGTTTCACATCATAGCAACTGTCTGACCTCACAACGTTAGAATTAGATCACTCGATGGTGGACAGGTACTTTTTTTAATTTAACCAATCGCTGCTATTTGGTCATGACGTATGTAATGCGCCCCTAACGGGGCTAACTGGTATATTAAGCTTTTCCCAAATCTTGTAGGAAGAAGGTCAATAACATTTTTCTCCTTGATAAAATTCACCAAACATTCTCTTTGTTCTGGCTTTAAATCCTCTGTCTTGGGAATCATTGCTAACACAGAATATATGGTTGGTGACTGGTGCCCAGACTCGCACTTCCAGGGTTCTTGCAAATCATCTAGTGTATTCTGATTCCTGACTTAGTCGCTGGAGAGAAATGAAATTGAGTGGAGACTCTAGGTGGTGCCAGTCTGGCTAGGTTTGGTCTCCATGTAGATGGAAAGGTTTAATACCATACTTTGAAACATTCCAGACAAAGCAATAACATCTCCATGTAGAAAAAAACATTTGATGGACCCTGCACCAAAAGTTACACAATGCACCTTTAATACTGCTGCAGGTCCTGCGTGGGGCAAAAGTATTTAATACAGCAAGGCTACCCTTAGATTGGATCAAAATCTATTTCACCAGAGAGGGAAAAGTTGACAAAGTAAAAAGTTATCTAAGGTTGTATAGTTTTGATCAATAAAATCAACAAAAGGATGGCCCGGGGTTACAGACCTTAGATGATTTTTTTTTTTTTTTTAGTAAATAACTTCTTCAAATACCAATGAATCTATAGTGTTTTCCAGTTTATCTGTCACTTTCACTGTCAAAGCGGCCACATGTTTCCATCAGATGATATATTTGAATTGCATCACTGCAATTCCACACAGATATCTCTGAGCTGATCAAAGAATAAGGGGTGGGTCCAGTGCAGGACTCAACAGCCAATCAGATGCCTCTCTGCACTCCCGTATATAATGTGAACTTTTGGGGTGAATTCGTCTGCAGCAAAGAAGATACTGAAGGTAAGTCTTTACTGAAGTCATAAAACTATACTGCACAAGATCAGTTCATATGGAGTCACACGGTCACTCCATGAAATGATTTTAGGTCTAATTTTTACTTTTGTAATTCTTATAATAGGTTTAGCTTTCAGTTCTTCAGTCAGAAATAAAAAAAAAAACAAAAATGTAAAAATTATTAAGAATGTTTTGCCATTACTCATCATTATTACTCATCAATGTTTTTGATTTATTATGGCAAAACAAGTTCAGTTCAGTCTAGACATGTTGATTTTTTTTTGTTTTTGTTTTGGGGGCGCATTTCTTAGAGACTAATCGTAACCTTGGCCTATGTTAGTACTTGCCTAACCTTAACCTAAGCTCTAAACTTAACCAATTAATCCAGATCTGAACTTTAAATTGAATTGTGGACCTATTAAAACCTTTGTTTGAGTCATCATAAGGGAGGTAAGTCCCCATAAATTCAATGTGTATACCATAGACTGTATGAAGAAATGGACTAAGAGAGTGTGATGTCCCATAGCATTCAGCTCCAGTCAAATGAAGCTCAGTAATTTATTTACAGACAAAATATTGAAATAAAAACACCAGGATCATGTAGAGTGGGTTAATACGTACATTTTAAGACCAAAATGAAGAGGCTCACTGCAACAGCTGCAGAGAGAGGGGTTCGAATGTAAGTGAATTGGAGCCAGAGTTGCTGAAGCCTGAAGCACCCCCATGCTCACTTTGTAGAACTTAGCTAACGAGTTAGCTATGTCCATTTATGGTGGACATAAATAACATAAATACTGTACTAGTTTTACTACAATAGTCATCAGTATACATGGACCCACTAAACTCTTATCTCTTCTTAGGCTGTAACGATGCGTGCTATGTTTGCTCTCGCACTGCTCCTGGCTGTAGCCTGGGCAGACCACCACCATGGTCATGGTCATGGTCATGGTCATGGTCATGGTCATGGTCATGCCCAGCACAAAAGCGCTGAAGATGCCTTGACCTGCCATAAGCTCTCTCCACATAACGCTGACTTCGCCTTCTCCCTTTACAAGAACATCAACTCCAAGACCGCTGCCGGAAAAAATATCTTCTTCTCTCCCCTTGGTATTTCCACTGCCCTGTCCATTTTGTCCAATGGGGCCCGCGCCGAAACTCATCAACAGTTGTTCTCCACTCTGGGCTACAGCAGCATGGACCAGAACACTGTCAATGATGCCTACAAGCACCTGTTTCATATGCTCGGACACAGCCAGCAAAACCAGGTACTGGAAGTGATAGATATGTATGGTGAAAATGATAAATACACTTTTAAATTACACTTTATTGGCAATGTGCAAAATGTCCATAGATATGTCAAAACAATAATAAAAAGTAAACAGAAAAACTATCAGCGTTTATCCAGGCCTATGTCATGAAAATACAATCAAACAGTAGACATAAGGCTACATTTGTGAGAAGCCTTCTTTTTATGTTTGGGGGGCCTGATTAGAGAGACACCAATCCATCTTCTTCAGTTTCAATACAGATTTTGATTCTAAAGATTTAAGCATACAAGTGCATAGACCGAAAACATTTATTACCTTAAAACAAAATTTAAATAAGACAAGCTTTATATGAAAACAAATTTAAACATTATGAGACTTTCTGGGAAGACTATGACCAGTAAATAGAATATTGATTCTATTTACTGGTCATAGTCTTCCCAGAGGCCAACAACAGATGCTTAATCACATTTCTAATTGATTTCCATCATATGATCTCAATATAATCACTGGGAGAATCAAAAAATTTAACAAGATACACATTTTTGTCAATTTTGCCTTAACAGGTACTGAATGTAGGTAATGGTGTGGCTGTCAGCAACAACTTTGCTCCTCTCGGCAGCTTCATCTCTGAGGTCAACCAGCACTACTCCGCAAAGATCTTCAAGGTCGACTTTTCCAGACCTCAGGAGGCAGCTGCAGAAATCAACAGCTTCATTGCAAATAAAACTCATGACAAGATTAAGGATATGGTGAAGGACCTGGACCCTACAATGGCCATGGTGCTCATCAACTATGTTTATTTCAGAGGTAAGATTGAACCCAAGAATTCACTGGTTAAAATGTATAATAACTACACCTTAAATAGACTCCAAACAGCATGAAGAAAGACTTGATTCATAATGAACAAAATAGTGGAAGAACATAGTTGTTTACAATTAGGTGCAATCTTAAAGGACCCATATTACGCTATGCTTATGCTTTCTGACTTATGTTATAATGTTGTAAACAGACTTTTATGCTGTTACTTAAACATGAATGAAACAAAACACAACTCCAGGTAGTTGTTCATGAGTGCACGTAATATAGGACCTTTAAAAGTAGATAGCAAAATGTGATCACATTGCTATCTGCAATATCTTCTTCCAGGACAGTGGGAGAAACCTTTCGATGGAAACTACACAAGCAAAGCTGAATTCTCCGTGGACGAAAACACCAAAGTGCAGGTGGACATGATGAAGAGGACCGGCCGTTATGACTTCTACCAGGACATGGACCAACACGCCTCTGTCATCATGCTCCCATATAAGGGCAATACTTCCATGATGGTCGTGCTGCCTGAAGAGGGGAAAATGGCAGAAGTGGAAGCAGCGATTTGCAAAGACCACCTGAAGCGCTGGCACGATTCACTCACGAGAAAGTAAGTAATATGCTCATGAAGTTATGTTGCTTCATATATTGTTTCAGAGTGAAGGGGAATTAGAGCTGTTAAGTGGCATAGCAAATAACAATTCAAAACAAAATATTCTTACTTTTGAGTGGTTAAAAGCAATGTTGGAAGACGTATTCAAATTTGTTACTTAAGTAAAAATAGAGACCGGAGCAGAAAAAAATACTCAAGTAAAAGTCAAAGTATCATCTAAATTTTTTTTACATATTTAAAAGCATTTATGTACCTTTAAGTACCTGCTTAAAAATATACGTATATAAGTATTTCTTGCACATTTTTAGACTATAAGACTTAAAATGTAGTGATATTGATATTTTGATATTTGAATTGTGCTAAATTTTGTTCAACAGAAACAACTGAATGTCTTTTTACTAGCTGTTTTTAGTTATATATTTATTTATATATTTTTGTTTGCACAAATTATGAAACTATCTTAAAAACAAACCCTCAACCCTTACAGTAGCTCTCAAACAATAATAAAAAAAAATACTTTTCCTATTCAGTCCTGTTCAAAAATGTAGAGTAGAAAGTACAGATACCTTCTCTCAAATCTAGTGGAGTCAAAACTATCCTCTTTAAAATTTGCTCAAGTAAAGTACAGATGCTTCAAATTTTTACTAATGTACAGAACTTTACTACTTCTACTTCATGACATTCCACTGGTTAAAAGTCGTCAAAATGCCTAAAGGCCATGAATGAGACAATCGGTTATTCAGAAAGCGTGGTTATAGAGTCTGTTGGAAGTGTACATTCTAAGACAAAATAAAATTAAATAAATGACTAAATGTTGTAAATGTTTTTTCAGTTCTGTAGATTTGTTCATGCCCAAATTTGCCGTGTCTGGACGTGCCCTCTTGGATGCTAGCCTCAAAGAACTTGGTATAACCGATGCTTTCAGCGACAAGGCTGACTTCTCAGGCATTTCTGATGAGATCAAACTCAAAGTATCAAGGGTAAAACAACATATGCTGTTTGTCTGTTTGACTAAATCATTTACAAATATTATGATTAATAAACACACCTTAATAAATCTTAAAGCATGAAGAAAAACTTACTTCATAATGAACACTTTTTTTTTTTGTATGTATGTTTATTTATTTTATTTTTTTAAAAGAATGATTCAGGCTCATTAGCTACTTAATTAAGGGGTTAGGTGCTTTTCTACCTTCAGTGAACTCAAAGCACTTTACAGCAGGGAACCATACACCCATACACCATACACCAGGCATGTCTAAACTATGGTCTGTGGGTCAAATGCAGCCCTCAGACAAATTTTCCTCAGCCCTTATGCTTCCAGGTGAATTGGCCCAAATGACATGGCATCAATAAAAAAATAACTTTTTACTGCAATTTTTTTCTTTTGAAAATCTACTTTGATAAGGCCAATATTTAATATTTAGTGTGTGGTTTTAAGGATCTAAGCATGAATAAAGACTGATGGCTCATTCTAATGTGTTAAACATGCACATATTTCAATTATTCACTGTATTGAGCACCAGTCTACGGCCCTCGATCAGCCCTCTGCTTCGTCTGTGTTTAGATATGTGGCCCTTGATGAAAAAAGTTTGGACACCCCTACCATACACACAATTTAACCGCTCTACTTATGGTGTTAATGCTGTGGAAATGGAACCAGCAACCCTTTGAACACAAGACAAGCACTCTACCGACTGAGTTATTGTTGTCCAAGTTGGTTACAGTTTGAATGAAGTAATCAGTAATTGTTTATTATGGATTGAGTCTTCATACTGTTCCCAGTATGACTAATAACACAGATAAATTGTATTATACAGGCAACGCACCAGGCTATGCTGAGCGTGGATGAGACCGGGACAGAAGCTGCCGCTGCCACGACGATCGAGGTGATGCCCATGAGCATGCCTGAGAGGATGGTCATGGATAGGCCCTTCCTCATCTTCATCCTGGAGCACTGGACCAGGAGCATCCTCTTCATGGGCAAGATCAGCAACCCCACTGAAGCATAAAAGCAACCTATTTGATCTTTCACCAACATACATTTTTTGGTACAAAACACATGTCTAGTTTATGTCCAGTGCAGGGGCGATGCCTGGGAGGAGGCACCTTGGATGACCCCCCCAATGATGTCTGAAGATTTTTTTAGACATAGAATATTACTTAAGTTACAATGCCAAACATGGTTGTAAATGAAGCTAAAATAAAACTAGGAAGTACCCCTCCAACCCAAGAAACAACTCCTGGAGCCGCCCTTGGCCCAGTGGAAGGTAACTGTGCAGTGTGCCCAGCTTTCATGGGAGTGTACATATTATCTAGCTTCCATGGAAATTCATGGTACTGTTTTTATGCTATACTTTTCCATGTTATTTCATCAGGACATGAAATAAACATTGGTTAAAAAGTGAAGTTGGCAGTCATTTGATGAACTGAACCATGGGTTAAAAGAGCAGTTTTTCCTCTATTCATGCATTTAACCTTATCTTCACATATTTAGACACGCACATAAACACTCAAAGTGACCTTAAACTTCATCTAATGTAATTCTTTTTTTTTTTCTTTTGCTACTTTCACACTGCAGTCAACATTGAGCATTCACAAGATGATTACCAAGACTTGAGAATTTGATATGTTGGGAATTTTATCTGTATTATATGCAGATGAACATACTTTAACATTTGTTTTGATTTTTAATGTTTCAAATGCCTTTCAAACATCAATGAATTCTTTAATGGTTGCAGTTCTGATGTTGCATCCCAGACATGTGTGCACTAGTCTGACAGCGCTTTGCCCGTTGACCCCGAGAATACAAGTTGCTCCATTTGTTTGTTCAGAGAGTACACATACACTTTGTCTCCACAGTCGCCCACACAACTCACAAACACACACAAAATTACTCAAATACACATATACAACACACAGAGGCCCATTGAAGGACAGCACGGGGAACTGGGGCAACTGTAATGCTCCTCCCATCTGCCGTCTCCAAACACCTCCTCTTCACAATGATCAGAAAGGTCCAAAAGGTTCACTCGGACAGTTGGCAAGAAAATCTAAAATGGAGTTTTAACTTTCAGAAGTCTGATAAGTTTAATAACACAGCCATCTGCGTGGTCAGGACAATTTAGCATAACTTAAGTGCACTTCATTCTCTGTCACTCTAGAATTTAATACAGAGCGAGGTCTATGTTCAATTTATGATGGAAATTTACTAGGAAGGACATTTCACTAACAGTTGGTGGTCATAGGATCATTGCGAAAAGAGTAGAGTTAAACTTGCTTGAATAAGTTTGAAGGGTAATGTTGTTGTGAGTAGATATATATATATATATATATATATATATATATAACCAAGTGGCGGGCATAGTGTACAGAAACATCTGTGCAGAGTACGGGCTGGAGACCCCAGGATCAAGGTGGGAAACACCTCCAAAGGTTGTGGAGAATGACCGAGCCAAGATCCTGTGGGACTTCCAGATACAGACTGACAGAATGGTGATGGCGAACCAACCAGACATAGTGGTGGTGGATAAGAAACAGAGCAGAGCCGTGGTGGTGGACATCGCAATACCAAGCGATGGTAATATCAGGAAAAAGGAACACGAGAAGCTAGAGAAATACCAGGGGCTCAAGGAAGAGCTGGAGAGAGAGCCTGGAAAGTAAAGGCATCAGTGGTGCCTGTGGTGATCGGAGCACTCGGGGCTGTAACCCCCAAACTGGAAGAGTGGCTTCAACAGATACCGGGAAAAACAATGGACATCTCAGTCCAGAAAAGTGCAGTACTGGGAACAGCAAAGATACTGCGCAGAACTCTCAAGCTCCCAGGCCTCTGGTAGAGGACCCGAGCTGAATGAGAGAGACCTACCACCGTGGAAGGTGAGAAACACATTTATATAATATATACACATATATACATAAATTAGACTTCATTCAAATATTTAGTCCATTTCAAGATACATTATCATTAATCAATGGAATAAGAAATTCTTTTCACAATGAATATTTTAGTGCATTTCATTAAGAAGGAATAGAAATATATTTGTATTGCCCTAAAATAGTTTGGGTTGTGAAACACTGCTATACAAAGAATAAGTTGCAAGCCTCTAATACATTTTTGGCAATTGTGTGTTTTGGCACATAACCTCTTGAAAACAGTGTGAAACACATTATAAGTTAAATAGCCTAAAACTGAATACACATATAAACTCAATTAAAGTCGTATGTGCTGTGATTTGCCCCTTAAGAACACATAAGAAAGGATAGTTCCAATAGGTTTAAGAAAATATAAAAGTGACACATTATCCTTATCTTGAAGACAGAGGTGACACCATTGGTGGATGGGGACATGAGCCTGATGAAATACTTTCATGATGAGAGAAGAACAAGTTTTATTCCTTTTATTGACACAGAGACAGACAACATAGATTCAATCAATTGAATCACTTTTCATCATGAACCAGGGACAATCAGAGCAGGAAGTGCAACTCTGCATTTCTCACTGCGACGTCATTTGTTTTGTGCAATGATGGATTCATTAATTAGGAAATCTAGAAACTAATCAACAAGATCAAAGCTGCAGCAAAGGGAATCTAATAGCTATAAATTAGTGTCACTACATTAACCATTATTGCTCCATGAGAGGCATACCATTCTAATCCAACTTTATTTTACCAACACAAAGTCTCAAGTGACATTGTATAAAATATAGCATACAAAATAAATAAGCTAGTCTATAAAAAACAAAAAGTACTACAATTAACAATAAGAAATGAAATCAATAAAAGACAGGACCACACAATTCTCATGCCAGGTTAAAAGTCAATGAGTTTAACAGTGTGCTTTTGAACAAATTAAGGGGTCTTAATGTGACAGGGGAGAGCATTCCAAAGTTTGGGGCTCACCACAGAAAAAAACTGAAGTAACTGGGGAAAGGGTGAATTTATAGTTTTGTTAGTGAATGAAAGTTAGAATGAATGAGTGTTTATAAAAAATGGCTTGAAGTTGCACTCTGCTTAAACAATTTGGGTGTCTTGAAAAGCGTTATATAAATGGAAAGTATTATTATTATTATTATTATTATTTTTTATTTTTTTATTATATAACTGTGCAACCTTTATAATGGAGGGTCCATCACCTACTTGTTTCTGTTAAGATGTTAATGCTTTACCTGGAATATTTCCCAATTTAGCATTAAACTTATTTATCTTGTTTCATTACATATGTTTTATTACAAAGAGCAGGGTCACCTCTCCACAGATCTGGCCTGGGGGTGTCTTGCGCTTGTTTCCATGGAGATCACTGTTAGAATATTCTATGCCATGGATGTCAAACTCAAATTCGCAGAGGAGCAATTTAATAAAAAAAAAAAATTGTATTATTATTATTTTTTTTAATTAAAATAAATGTTTAATAATAGTTTTGCTTAAACATTGAATCCAAAACAAGCATAATATAAAATTATATTTTAAAAAATGTAAATAAATCTGTAATAATCTGTAGCCAGTGGACCAGCTCTTATACATTTGATATGATCTCATGGGCCAAATATAATTATATTGCAGGCCAAATTCAGCCTGAGTTTGACATGTCTATTCTGTACAAACCAAATAGATCTCCAAGATGACAAAGACAAGAAAAACGTTGGCATAGAATTGGCAGTTTGCTTGTACAAAACAACAAAAACACAATCCTTTGTTAATAACAGTGCCAATTTGTAACACTTATTTACTTATTACACTTATTACTTATTTTTAAGTTTATTTATTTACCATCTTATGCTTATTATCAGTAATAAGACATGAATCCAAGTGATGTGGTTTTAATGGGTTTTTTACCCTGCAGGCAAGCTGTGATGAAATTTAGGCAAAATAAGCCTTTTTAGCTGGAGAGGAGAGCACTATCATCCTGTCACTGTATTTCCTGTAGTATGTTTATTGTCTATGAGTTTGTGATCATGCAAAAAAAAAAAGATAACATAACTGTTTACCAATCAAGCTCTTTTTGTAGTTTTATTGGACAAAAGTATGCTAATTACATTCTTAGTAGTATTAGAAGTAAACACAGTATATACTTATACATTGTGCCAATAGAGGGCAGTGTTGCTCCACGTATCCCAGAGGCCTTATTTGCAATCTGCTTGTTCATTTGAGACCTTCCTTCTTTCTATATTCTGCTCAAAATCACCACAAATCTGTCCCTTGTCTGTGGACCTGAAAGAAGCTGAGTTCATGGAGGATCACGGCTGTCTGTCGATCATCAGCTGTTTGCCAACCGTGCGAGATTGCACATTAAAGACAAAATCCACACTAAAACATGTGATTTTTTTGTAAGGACTTGGACAGTGTAAAAAGGCAGAGCTGTGGTATGTGCCAAGCTTTCAACCACCTCTGCAAATGAGAATCTCCAGTTTGCAGCAGAAATATAACAGAGAAATGTAATAGTATGAAATGTAATAGCTATGGTAGGACGAGGTTGAAGAGTGTTTCTCAAACTGTGGTTAGTGAACATGTCTAACATATTTTACATTTATAGTCAGTTATTTTTTGTTATTTTGCTTTTGGCTAAAAAAAAACAACAAAAAAACAAAACAATGCACAACATAATAACAAAATCCCAAATAGATGAAATTAATGCTTTACTTTACAACAACTAGCATGTAAACAGCACACTTTGTAGTACACAGGATAAAATGCAGATAGCACACATTTCATTTTGACTCTAAGAACTGCTTTTACAATATATGGTGATACAATTTTAACTTTATTACATGAAACATTTTGCTGTAGCTCCTTCTATGGTGACATGCGGCATGTTTCAATAAAGAGTGGGCATTCTAAAACTATTCAGGAAATGTCAATAGGTTACAGTATTTTTCAGACTATAAGTCTATAAGAGTCTAAGTCGCAACAGCCAAAAGATGCGTATTGAAGAAGAAAAAAACATATACAAGTCGCACCGGACTATAAGTTGCACTTTTTGGGGGAAATTTATTTTATAAAATCAGAAGCCAGGAACCAACATTTCATCTTGAAAGGCAAGTTATAGTAATAACAATAGAAGGTGTCTAGTATGTTAACGTAACATGAACAGTTATTCAGATAACTATAGCAAAAACAACAGAACATAACAAGTTTACCAAACTCTCGATCTCACTCCAGATCACTAAATCCATTGAATTCTTCATCCTCTGTGTCATTTCTGAGCAACTTCGGGGCCTCTGGAGGTAAACCATAGATCCATGATGTAAACAGCACGCCACTTCCTTTTCTACATAGAAGTTTCTCAAGCTGCTCGAGCTTTCGGCTGAATTTTTCACTACTTGCAGCAGGACAGTGGCTTTTTCTGCAGAAGACATGAACATTAGGGCAATAAGTGACAGGGGTACAGCAGTAGCAGGT